GGTCTAACTAGTGCCTTGTATGGTTTTAGCAAATCCTGTCTATTGTAATACTTTGAAATAAAAGTCAAAAGTACATTTACCCCCTCTATTCCCCCCCGCTCTGAACTTGGATGCTGGTTTTCTGTGGTTTACGCATGAGGACCCCCAAATCCTTCTGTCCTGCCGTTTTTTTTCCCCGTTTAAATAATATTCAGCTCCTCTATCCTTTCTGCCAATGTTTGTCATGGCGCTATGAAAGAAAGAAGTTGGCAATGAACTGCAAGCCCCATCAGTGCCGGAGGTCAGGCACAAATTACAGGGATGCCTGTCATTGGCTGCTGCATTCGCATAACGAAATGTTTGAGGATTGAAGTAGTTTTAGGAGGAACAATAATGAGAGTCTGGGCATTCTAATCGCATGTGAGTGAGTGAGCGTGTGTATGAGTGGTGTGCAAGTGTGAATGAGAGTCTGAGCGTGTCTGTGTGCAAGCTCGCATGTGCATGAGTGTGAGAGACTGTGTGGGTGTGTGTTTGTGTGCGTCTTTACGAGGATGTGCACACTGATGTGTGTTCGTATGAGTCTGTGTGGGTGTGTGAATCTGCGAGTGTTTGTCGTGTGCGCGAGTGTGCAAGTGCACATGTAATGAATGTTTGTGTGTGCAAGTGCACGTGTTATTGAGTGTTTGTGTTTGTCAGTGGGTGTGCGCACAGGAGTGGGCATTTAGTGAGTGAGTGTGTGAATGTGAGAGTGAGCGTGTGCCTGTTTGAAGTGATTCCTGTGTGTTTTGTACTTTGGCTGACTCTCTGCTGTGTTGAAGAACACTGGGTCAGGCTATGTCCCAGAAGCCAAGCGAGGAAAGCGAGACAGAGACGAAGGTCACACGCGGTTTCCGTAACACTGTTCACCACCTCAGAACATCCACAAACTCTTTACAGCTGATGAGATCCCTGTGAAGTGTAGTCACTGTTGTAATGGAGGATTTTATCATGTTTAACAGCTTCTCGCACAAGCTGGATGTTTGAACCTGATTTCGTCGAGAGCGAGATGTTGATTCACGAATCAGTGGGTTCCGAACCCGCCCTGTTCAATGGGATTTGGTAGAAAGGTTTATTCAGGGAGAACTGGCCTTGGAACAGCCAGAGCCATTCTACATTCAAGTTTTCCCGTTTTGCTCCCTGTCACCGCCGAACCCGACCCCCCCCACCCAACACCATCCTAATCAATAAACTGTGACTGTGTTTGAATGAGGTGGTCCCTGTGTGATTTATTTCACAATTGTCAAGGAGATAAAGTGTCGGAAATGGGGTGGAAAGCTTCGATTGATTCATGGCTGTTGGAGTGGTCTCTAAAAGTCATTTGGCGTTGACTAATGCAGCAATTTAGATCTTTAATTAATGCAAAAACAAGGTGTACTTTCACGCTGCCTGTAACTGTGCCATCAGTGAGAGGGAGGGGAAGTGGGGATGTCATTTTACAAGGTGTGACCTAAACCCTACTCACATCAACTCATAAGGGGATGTCATTGTCTTTCCCACTTCCCTTTGGACTTTCCAAGAGAATGGAATGTCCTTGCTTACAAATCAGTACACATTAGGAACGGTTTCACCTAGTGACAGGCTCAGTTTAAAACAAAACCTGATTGGATCACTTAACCTCCCTGTTACCAAGCAAATAGAGCAAGGCCACTGTCAACCAATCCCAGAATGCATCGTCGGAAGGGCATGCCAAGTTGTCTTTTTATTATTCACTCACAGGCTGGGCCTGCACTTACAGCCTCTTCAGGAGGTGGGGGTGAGCTGCTTTCTTGAACTGCTGCAGTCCATGTGCTGTAGGGACCCACAGTGCCCTTGGGGAGGGAATTCCAGGACTTTGACCCAGCGACGCTGAAGGAGCGGTGACATATTTCCAAGCCAGGATGGTGAGTGGCTTGGAGGGGAACTTGCAGATGATGGTGTTCCCATGTATCTGCTGCCCTTGTCCTTCTAGATGCTGGAGTTGCAAGTTTGGAAGTTGTTGTTGAAGGAGCCTTTGTCAATTTCTGCAGTGCATCGTGTCGATGGTACACACTGCTGCTACTGAGCGTCGGTGGTGGAGGGAGTGGGATGTTTATGGATGTGGTGCCAATCAAGCGGGGGCTGCTTTGTCCTGGATGGTGTTGAGCTTCTTGAGTGTTGTTGGGAGCTGCCCCCATGCAGGGCAAGTGGCGAGTATTCCATCACACTCCTGGTTTATGCCTTGTAGATGGTGCACAGGCTTTGGGGAGTCAGGAGCTGAGTTACTTGCTGCAGATTTCTAGCCCCTGACCTTGCAGCCGCAATATTGATATGGCTACCTCATTTCAATTTCTGATCAATGATAGTCGCCTAGATGTTGCTAATAGGTGGGGTAGGGGAGGGAGAGTTTCAGTAATGGTGATGCAACTGAATCTGTTATTGGAGACGGTCATAGCCTGGCATTTGTGTGGCTCGAATGTTACTTGCCACTTGTCAGCCCAAGCTTGGATATTGTCTAGATCTTGCTGCATTTGAACACGGACTGCTTCAGTATCTGAGGAGTCACGAATGGTGCTGAACATTGTGCAATCATCGGTGAACATCCCCACTTCTGACCTTACGATGGAACTCCTGTGTGTCAATGGGCTATTGCACAGTAGAGGCATCACACTGCTCAGTCCAGTTCCTGAGATTTCCAGCAAGGAACTCTCGAAGCAGGGCTTGCTGTGGGAAACGGAATATTGGCTTCTATTGCGAAGGGATTTGCGGATAAAAGTAGGGAAGTAGGGACTGAGCTGAGGAGGAATTTCTTCACTCAGAGGCTAGTGACCCTATGAAGTTCTCTCCCACAGAAGTCTGTGGAGGAGAAGTCACTGAATAGGTTCACAAAATAAATAGATCTCTCGAGATTAAAGGGGCATGGGGAGTTTGCAGGAGTATTTCATTGAGACAGAGGATCAGCCACATTCATGTTAAATGGCAGAGCAGGCTTGATGGGCTGAATGGCCTCCTGCTGCTATTTTCTAGGTTTTCATATTAAGTGCGTCTGTCAATTGGACTGTGGATTCAAGGCTGAGAAATAAAGAACTTGGTAACTACAGATGTAGCTTCCAAGGACATGCATTAAGACCAGATCTACTTTGGATACTTTTGATACTCAGCGCAGACTGTGATCCAAACGGACTGTCCGATGGGTTCAAGCCTTGACCCTCCCACCATTTTAACCATAACGTATATCGCTGGAGAGAAGCTCAGTCAGTCCCTCAGGGAGATAATCACAACTATTCGTAGGGCAGGGGGAGTGCCTCGGAACATGAAACCCGTGACAAAGAAACATCACCTCACACCCTTTTCCGTCCCTCTACCCCCCGCCACTCCCTGCAACCGCACTGCTTGTGTGAAGTCCTTGAAAGAAGGGAAAGTGTGTGCATTGATGTAGCATCTTTCACAACCTTTAGCCATCCCCAAGCACTTCACAAGCAATAAAGTACCCCTGAAGTGTAGTTGCTGTCACCTTTTGAGAAATTCAGAAGCCAGATCGTGCACAGCAAGCTCCCACAAACAGTAAAGTTACGACAACCAGATAATCTATTCTTTCGCAATGTTGATTGAGAGCCGGCCATTGCCCAGGACACCAGGGGAGAATTCCCCAGCTCTTTTCCCTTTCACAAGAGCGCAGACAGGCCTGGGGTTCGTGACCTGAATAGAGAAACAGCACAACTGACAGAGCAATGCTCCCTCAGTCCAGCTGGACGGTGCACTGGAGTCTTTCGAGTGAGACCTGAAGCCACAACCACCTGACTCAGTAGGAGGGTGTAGACAGGCTGGTCAGATGGGGGTGCGAATGGTAGCAAATGGAATTTAATCTTGAAAAGCGAGAGTTGATGCTTTTTCGGAGGACTAACAAGGCAAAGGAGTACGCCTTGAATGGTGGGACCTTGGAAAGTACAGAGGATGAGAGGCACCTTGATGTTCCTGTCCATAGATCCTGGGACACAGCAGGACAGATCGATAAGGTGCTTATCAAGGCTTGTGGAATACTTGCCTTTTTGAGTCCAGACATTGAATACAAGACCAAAGAAACTATGATGGAGCTGTATGTAACATTAGGCCACGGCTGGAGTACTGTGTACAGTTCTGGTCCCCACACTATAGGAAGGATGTGATTGCAGTGGAGGGGGTGTGGAGGAGATTCACCAGGATGTTGCCTGGGGGTGATTCAGTGAGAGAGACTAGATGGGCTGAGGTTTGATTCCCTTAGAGTGGATGGTGCTGTCTGATTGAAGGGTGTAAAGTTCTGAGGGGCATAGACAGGGTAGACAGAGGGGGCAATAGGCAGGGGGCACAGTTTCGAAGTAGGGAGCAGGAGTTTAGAAGGGTTTTGAGGAAACATTTTTCACCCAGAGGACGGTGGGTATCTGGAACTCACTGTCTGAAAGGGTGATGGAGATGGACAGTCTCAGTGTTTAAGATGTATTTAGATGATCACTTGAAACGTCACAGCTCACATGACGACAGGTGAATGTTGGGAAATGGTGTAAGAATAGCCATAGACTCATAGAGATGTACAGCACGGAAACAGACCCTTCAATCCAATTCATCCATGCCGGCCCAGATATCCTGAATTAATCCAGCCCCATTTGGCTCGTATAGGTGGACGTGTGATGACTGGAGTGGACACGATGGGCTGAATGGCCTCTTTCCGATGCTGTAAAGACTCCATGAGAGTCTGACCCACTTGGCAAAGCAAGTGGTGTTACCGAGGAGACGAAACAAAAACTTTCCCCTGACTTTTTGTGGTGAGGGGGCTAGAGGAGCAGGGAGTGGGGTCTGGATGAGAAGGCCGTGGAAATGCCCCTCTAAGACAGGGACGAGGGGGTTTGGGTGAGGACTGTTGAACTTGCCTGGTCCCTGCGGTGAACCTCCTGCCTGGAAAGGTGTGCGCAGGACATCCCATTGCTCAGGAAGTGTAAGGAAGATGTTTGCATCTCTCTCCGCCCTATTGACTGTTACATAATGTCCTGCAGCTAGGAAAGCTCCCGATGGGACCATCATTCCGAACACCTATTGCGATTTCTGCCTGGGCGGGATTTCTGGAAATAAGAAGACCGGGTGTCCCGAGGATCTAATGTCCTGTGCAGATTGTGGACGCTCAGGTGAGTTTAATCCCCCATTTACTGGCCATCTTGTGAAGTTCATTCTCTACCCTCCAACCTCCTCCTCCCCTTCTCCCTACCCTCCCCACCCCGTTTGTTCTCCTGTTCCCCCACCCCACCCCCCCAACCCATAATTCCCT